TTTAGATTGGATCAATCTACCTATACTACTATCATTCATTTCAAGGTATATGAACCCCTAAGCCCTTTTGGGGTTCATTTTGGTCCCAAGGTTTAGGGCTTTTGGTGGGATTTTTAGGCTTTGTTGAGGAGTGGGGGGATGTCAGGGCACTACATTGCCTCTGGCTGGCACGTCATTGCTTTCCGACGTTGCTCGACGCGTCGCACGAACCCTGGAATGTTGAAGCCGAAACTTCGGGGCTGAGTACCCTAGCCCAAAAAGATTAGCCTTCTATTTGTAAGAGGATATATGTATATATATATATGTATATATACATATATAAATATGTATAGCCACAAAGGTTAACTATTTTATTTGTAAATGATTATATCTAACCAAAAAGGTTAAAGGTCAACTGCCCCAGCCCCTAAGTAAACCGCTGTAGGCTTCGACCTCACTGTTGCCCTACTGGCCATAGGCCCTAAACCCTAAACCCTAAACCAAAACCCTAAACCCCTCGATGAACTTCAAAGCTTTGAGCCTGCGAAACCATGTCTCCCAAGTGCTGGTAGAACTCGGGGTCGTGTGCCTGCTGCTGCGCTTGTGATGTTAGAGCCTGGCACTTGGGGCCCAGAAAGTAACACGGATTTAAGGCGGAGTGCTGACATTGTTGCTAACTTGGTGATGGGGCATCAGCTGAGTGCCTGGGCATCTATCTAGTCTGTCCCCCTCCACAGATTTATGGAACCTACTTTTAGACCGCCGGCGGGGGAGGCTCAAGCAAACACCAGAAGGCCGGGTGGCTCCAACTTCCCAAAAAAGCCTACTACTGTAGTTCTTTCACAGGGGAAAGAAAGGGGCAGCATGAGGTTCCCTTGAATCCCGACATTACCCTTCAAGGAACTAGGGAAGCTGCTTCCGTGTTGCACTACTAGGAACCAACAGGTAACCTGAAGTCCCAAACCCTCAACCCCAAATCCCAAATAACCCTAAACCCTCGGCCGCTTCCCTGGGAAAAGCAAGCTAAACCCTAAACCCTAAACCCTAAACCCGCCCACAGGAAGCCACTTCCACCCTGCCACTCCTCGATGCGGTCCCTGCGGACCACGAAGTGGCTACAGCAGTAGGTGCCCAAGCCTCTGGAGTTTTAGGGTGCAGGAGTTTAGGGTTAAAACCCTAAACCCTAAACCCTAAACCCTAAACCCTAAACCCTAAGCCCTGATTTCAACATCCCTGGCCCGCGCACCGGCCGAAGAAGTGCAGAGAAATACTCTCAGAGTCATCCTCCAACCTCGAGTGACAGATAACCTCCATCACCCTAAACCCTGAACCCTAAACCCTGAACCCTAAACCCTAAACCCAAAAGTCTGAGTCCTGAACCCTCTGAAACGCGAGGGAGGGCCTTCCATCCCTCCAAAGCATAGTTCGCCACATGGATCCTCTTATGCCCAATAAGGCACAAAATGTGAAATATCCTAAGGGCCTCCCTAAACCCCACGCCCAAAACCCCCCGCCCTCACCCTAAACCCTAAACCCTGAACCCCCCTAAACCCTAAACCCTGAACCCCCTTAACCCCAAACCCCAAATCCACCTAAACCCAAAACCCCCAAAAACCCCTCCCCGCCCCCCCCCAAGAAAGGGCCCAGTGGCGGTCCGGTAGTTCGACCCGGAGAGCTTGCCGATGCACCTCTCGTGCCAGCAGGGGGGGGGGGGGGGGTGTTGCCGTGGAGAAGATCCGAATTCTTTGAGGGGTTCGTTGTTTAGGGTTTAGGGTTTAGGGTTTAGGGTTTAGGGTTTAGGGTTTAGGGTTTAGGGCTTGGGGTTCCGGGCTCAGCGGTTCAGGGTTTAGGGGTTCAGGGTTTAGGGTTGAGGCATAAGGGTTTCGGGTTTAGGGTTCGGAGAGTATGTTTGCAGTTGATCTAGCTCAACTGTGGGCGCTTTTTGGGTCTTCTTCTACTCGTGGAAGTGGATCCCTCGCCACGATGGGCCCTTTGCCCCCTCGGTGTTTTCAGTTCGTGGTTCTGCATTAGCAGGGGAGACCACTTGTGCGACTGCAACAGCCGTGTCCTTCCGCGGCGTCTGTGTTTCCGGTGTCGGCAGACACACCCATGTCAAGCAAGTCACCGCAGTGTGTTGTGACGGCTTTGCAGGGTGAGCTACTTCGGGCCGTGACACCTTCACCATTGTTCACGCCTAGGGGTTTGTGTGTGTGTGTTTGCACGCGAACTTGTTGTACCTACAAAGTACGGGATCGCTCCCGCGCGATCCGTTTCGCGATCCGTTTTTGCCATTTCTGCAGGCTGCAGGGGAAACCAGTGCCCGTGAGCCACAGTACTGTGGTCTCTCCAAGGTCGGGCTGGGGCCTGCATTTTGCAAAGCTGTGTGCTGCCCGTCTCTCAAACCGACGTCTTTACATGTAGTACACCTCCCTCCACACATCAAATGCGCCAGGCCCGCCTCCTTCAAGCAAGGGGTGCGGTACGAGGGATATCGCTCATGCGCGAGGTGCAGGAAAGGTACCTCCAGACAGCACAGGAACCAAAGCATACCACTAAACAAGGCCTCAGGTCCTCCCATCCGCGAGTCTTGCATCCCTACGCGTCTTTTCGTCCATCGAGAGAGGTGCTTCCGCGCAACTCTTGAACCTTCTTCGGCCCCTCACTTCGTGTCACTTCGTGTCACCGGGCGTCGTGGTGCGCGGTCGCTGGCAGCCCAAATGCTTCAGCATGAGATGCCGTGGACAGGCGAGGGATGCCAAAGTGACGAGCTGCCCGAAGCCTCATGACTCTTATGGCTCAAGGTCCCCTACTTACCGGGGGGGAAAAGATGTGCAACCAATGGTGCCCCCTCAACACATCTCTGAGGCTTGTTTACAGCTTAAGGGGGTTTCGTCGGGATCCCTCCGGCGCTTTTGCATTAAGGCCAGGCCCTTCGGGCGGCACTGGAAAATTGGCACCAAGAGTGCAGTAGCGCAGAGGCGAAGGCTGCGACTTTTGACGTATTCGTCTTCTGAAGATGTGCTCTATAGGTTTTAAGATGCAGCTGGGACATAGGTATTTAAAGTTTGAAGTTTAAGTGTTGGGGTTCCAGGGGTTTAGGGGAAGATTGGGAAGAGGGCACAGAGATCGTGAGATTCTTCTGTCATCTCGCGGTTGGAAACCCTTCCTTTGCTCGAGGATTTGCGGGGTGGGGGGGGGGGGGGGTGCCTAAAAACGTTAAGTTCTATGGGTTCTATACGTGGTCTTTTGTAGAAGGGTTGGGTCCCAAATAGAACCTTAAAAACGGGGTTGATTCCAGCATCACGGGAAGGGCCCAAGCTCTGTCTGGCCGTCAGCCTTCACGCTCTGCCTAGAACATTGACACAAGCCTGTTAGGGGTTTAGGGGCTGAATACCCTACCCCCAAAAAGGTTAACCTCTAATTTGTTATAGGAGTATATATAACCAAAAGGCTAAAGGGTAACTACCCAGCCCCTAAGCAGGGGTTTAGGGTTTAGGGTGATGGGTTCTCATCAGGGCATGGGTATGACTTGGGATCCTCCTCGGATACGGCTTGAGGGGTGTGCGTGATGGAATAGGACACTAAGCCCTAAACCCTGAACCCTCTGAGGGGGCTCAGGATGTTTCGAGGGTTCCGCAGTCCTGCACAATTTAGGGTTTATAGGGCTTAGGGTTTAGGTTAGATAGGTGCTTCTCTTGCCAAACCCAACCAGATTTCAGGCAATCAGGCGCCTGGGCCCAGATACGGTCAGGACCCCTCCGGGCCCCTCCGCCATCGGCGGTCCTCCCAGGATGTCTCAAGACAGTCATGCAAGTTGAAACTCATCCGTGATCATTACACTCTTCAGATTCAGTTGCTAGACCCAAGAGTAACTCAGGTTGAAAAAAAGATTGCCCTTTCTGGCTTAAAGTGGATTATAACGGAACCTAAGCCCTGAAAAGGGAAGTGTCTTGACCTCAGCTCACGACGCGCTGCTTGAGTGCCGGTGCTCTCGAACAGAAGGTGCGTGCAGGGTTGAGAGTTCAAAGTTTCGAGTTGCGGGCCTGGGATTTGTAAGCCTTGCCAAGCCAGAACCAAGGCAAGGCACACTGGAGATGGGTCCCTGCAAGACTGAAAGCGGCAGAGGGCTCCAATCAAAGAGCCTCTGAAGAAACTCGGATCTGTAGGCCTCAAGTGCTTACATTTTGGGCTTGTGGGTTTAGACCAAAACAACACAGGAATTTGGAGGGACCGAGAATGGGTAGCTACGTACTCTGAGCCCTAAAAACCTAACTAAACCCTAACCCTCAACCCTAAACACCAACCCCTAAAACCTAAACCCTGAAGCCTGAACCCTAAACTCAAGGCTTAGGCCGCCCCCCTACAGTGGGGGGCGCCTAAGCCCCTCGACCTCGATGGCGCAAGCCGACCCAGGTCGTTCGCCCGCCTCCCACAGCTCGAGGGTCGGTAGCACCCACATAGGGCCCGGTACCGGAGCCCGTTCTGGTCGGTACCCCCCCCTTTAGGCCCTCCTGCTCTTGCCCTCACAAACCCGTCTGGGCATCTGTGGGCCTTCTCCACCTGGGCCTGTGGAGGCTGGCCTGTTTTTGTGAACCTGCATACCACCGCGACGGAATGAAGAAGTTTTATGGAAAGTGAGCAGTTGGCTTGAGTTTCGGCCTAAACCCTAAAAGGAATAGGTTTGGGTGGCTTTGCCGCCTCGGACGGTGTGGGGTGGGAGAAAAGTGTTCGATGGCCTTCCACAATCGGGCCAAAGCTGCTCTTCGCGCCTCACGAAGCTTTCGAGCTTATCCCAAAACCAAACCTTCACAGCATCTACGCCCCATCACAGCAAACCCTAAACCCTAAACCCTAAACCCTAAACCCTAAACCCTAAACCCTAAACCCTAAACCCTAAACCTTGAACCCTAAATGAACCCTAAACCCTAGACCCGAAGCCCTCAAAGTCCCTCAGCCCTCTCCATGCATCTGCAGCTGGGGGGCCCTGGGACTCGGGCTCCGAGTGCCGGGCCTGGTCTCCAGCCTCGGTGTAGGGTTTAGGGTTTAGGGTTTAGGGTTTAGGGTTTAGGGTTTAGGGTTTAGGGTTTAGGGTTTAGGGTTTAGGGTTTAGGGTTTAGGGTTTAGGGTTTAGGGTTTAGGGTTTAGGGTTTAGGGTTTGCTGTGATGGGGCGTAGATGCTGTGAAGGTTTGGTTTTGGGATAAGCTCGAAAGCTTCGTGAGGCGCGAAGAGCAGCTTTGGCCCGATTGTGGAAGGCCATCGGAGGGTTTAGGGCCTCGGGTTTAGGGTTAGGGGTTTAGGGAGGGGTTCAGGGTTTATGGTTACTGGGTTGACGGTCTAGGGTTTAGGGCTAGGGGTTTAGGGTTTAGGGTTCAAACTCTAGGGTTCGGGGCTTGGTGCTTTTCAGTTTGGATTGGGTTGAGGGTCTAGGGTTCAGTGTTTCGGGTTCGGGGTTGGTGGTGTAGGGTCGGAGTCTAAGCCTTAAACCCTAAGCTACCAATTGCTTAAGAACCCCCCAAAAATAAGAAATATTCTTCCTTATGAGGGTATTATAGTGATTATATATTGTTTTTCTTGTTTGGGGGTTCTTAAGCAAATACTAGCTAAGGCCACCAAATGGAGCCCAGCGGCCCAGTCCGTTTCTCAGAGTCCGCGCTTGTCGTCCTCGTCGCCGTCGTACTGGTTATTCCAAATCATGTGAAGGAAGTCGGGGTACAGCTCGTCAACCTGAGATGTGTGCAAAAAACCCTAAACCCTAAACCCTAAACCCTAAAACCCTAAACCCTAAACCCTAAACCCTAAACCCTAAACCCTGAAGGCCATCCCATTGCTCGGGCTGGACTTTTGAGGGGAGCCTTCGCATCTAACTGCTGCAATGGGCCGTCCGAACGGCAGTCTCTCAGTTTTGGGCTTAGGGCCCAGCCCGTTGTCCGGTAACCTTGGAACCCTAAACCCTAAGCCCTAAACCCAGAAAGCTGGCCCTTTCATTCTTCAAATACGGGTTATGCTAACCCCACAACAAGTACTGTAACGCTCCAGCTAATCAGGATGGGGAAACCCAGTAAGCAAAAACCGAAACAGCCAGCCAGTTGTAGAGCAAAGCCTCCAAAGGGTGTCTTTGCTTCTTCTTGGCCCTCAGAAAAATATTCCTAAATGTGACCCTCTTAAACCCAAAGGGAAAAACACAACGTCCCAAGGGCCTACCTAGGCAGGTTTTCGTGCCGCTTCGTTCTTGCCTTTTCGGTCATTTTTTCAGCTGACTCACAACATGCCTTCAGGGCGCCGTACATTATTATATATTATATTACTATATTACTATATTATTATATTATTATATTATTATATTATTATATTATTATATTATTATACTATTATATTATTATATTATTATATTATCATGCTGAAGCTCAGGTTCAACCCTATGAAGGAGCCAGGCTGCTGGACGGCCCCAGGCGGTCAGTTTGGCTTGCACAGCTGTCGTCCAGTCCGACACAGGGCGGTTGATGAAGATGGCCTTCGCGGTTGCAACCAATATCTGACCTCAAAACCGACCCCCCAGCCGCCCTCCCAACCTTGCACGGCTCTAAACACACATAGAAGAAGCCCCATCCGTGTTTTAACATTGTCTTTGCTCCTCCTCACATGACACCGCCAATCTAAAACTTGCGGGGCCGTGGGCTCAGGACGGACAGTCACAACGACTACCCCCTGGTTCTTAGTAGGGAATGAGGAAATGAGGGCCCTATATTTTACCCTTTAAGGATTCCATAGGGCCCTGATTCCCGATCACTGCTTTTGCAGGGTTTAGGTTCTGCTTCGGGGCTGCGGAGTTTTAGGGTTTAGATTCTTCGGGGCTGCCTGCTCATTTCAGATGACCCCGGGTTTTGCCACCATTTTGAGTGGTTTCAGTTGTTGGATGTTCTGGGCACATGGAAGCCTCAAGGTCTCAACATGCAGGGCATGTCACTTTTGTTTACTGTGCATCTCTTTGTTTGGTATTGTCAGGAACATGTAGATGTAGTGTTAACGTCAATATCAAAATCCTACTACGACTACTCACGCCACAACTCTTATGTTCTGCCACGCTTAGGGTTTAGGGCTTAGGGCGAAGCCCTAAACCCCAAACCCCAACCCCCCAACCCCCAGCCCCAAACCCTAAACCCCAAACCCCAAATCCGAAACCCGACACCCGAAACCCGAAACCCCAAACCCTGCCTGGGCCATGGCTGGGATGTCCATCGAGGCCTGGAGCAGATTTGCACTGCTTCGGTGCCCGACTTTCAGGCAACAGGGTTTAGGGTTTAGGGCTTAGGGTTTAGGGTTTGGGGTGTAGGGTTTAGGGTTTTGGGTGGGTTGTTTAGGGTTTTGGGTTTAGGGCTTAGGGTTTAGGATTTGGGGTTTGGGGTGTAGGGTTCAGGGTTTTGGGTTTAGGGTTTAGGGCTTGGGGTTGTTTTTGGGTTTAGGGTTTAGGGCTTGGGGTTTGGGGTTCAGGGTTTGGGGTTGTTTAGGGTTTAGGGTTTAGG